AATATCACAAAAACAGATTTATTCTCTTGGACATATCCAAATGGTTGAATTACAACGTAGATAGGCGAAACTAATTAAGTGATATGGTAAAACGTATTTGATCGAAAAATACTTCCTCTCCTTTTTATTATAAAAAGAAAAAAAAATTAATTTTATGTATGTTAAAAAAGTTAGTTATTTCTGTTAAATTTTATTAAATTATTCTTATTATAAATGTAAAAATTTAAGAGTAAAATCATCTTAAAAAAAATATAAATATCTTTACATATGTTATACATAATAGTATTTATTTTGTCATTATATTTTCATTAAACTCGTTTATTATATTAATTGACTAATTTGTCATCATTTATGAATGCATTTAAAGTTTTATGTAAAAATATTACTGTCTCTCTATATATAAGACCGAAATGCATATAAATAATTGCGATGCAATTTTACTCTATTTGTAAAATAGGCAAATAAGTGCTAGCTTTTTAATCAAATTAAACTTTTTAAATTTTTTTATTTTAACATGGCTAGATCAGGTACTACTATCTTCAAACAGGGGAAAAAAAAAACTAATTTAATCAGAGTACGTGTTAAACCTAAATTCACCAATAAAATAACATTACGTTGGAGTTTTAAATTGAAAAGCCATGGTAGTAGTTGGTTGGTACCAAATTTAAGAGTTCAGCCATTTAGTTCATTAAAAAAAAAAAAGAAAAAAAAAACTGTAGGTGATGGCAAAATATTAAAATAGGTAAGAGAGTGATTAAATTGATGAGAAAAGTAGGTTTAAGAAGAGACCCCATGAATGTTCCATTTATGCATTCGTTCAATTTAATAATTTATTTTCTCTGCTGGTTTGGTTACCTTGGCTGACCAAATTTCTTCTTAAAGATAACGCCTCTCAACTAAATCTATCTTTTCACTTCTTTCACATTAGCCCAGCTACCTTCGTCCAATCATATTTCTACATCCAAAATTCTATGCCTACATAATCAAAATAATAACCCTATATTATAAGTACTAAAATAATTGAATAAATCTTATACTATGATAATGAGAATTATACTAATTATATCCCCATAACATAAGATTGTTAACAACTATAAACTTATGTCCAACCTACTTCGTTGAATAAACTGGATTTGTAAAATATAATTAATCTAGGACTTGGTGGGAGACTCCAAGAGTTTGGGGATCCGGGTCTAGTAAGAAAACCATGTTAAACAAGAAACCCAATTTTGATTTTAATGCCTCATATGTTTTGTTTCATATTATTATATATTAATAAAGTTGGGACATTTCATACTTATTAAGTAATAAAATAATTAATTAAATAATTAATATTTGTTGGTGTTGCAATTAGTTTTTAAATTTTTAAAAATTTGAATTTAGATATTAAATTTGATAAAAATATTTTTAAATTTTTATTAATAACAAAAAATAATTTATTAAATATGAAGATCAAAGGTAGTTATTAAAAAAAATATATTTTTTAATATATTAGTATAGATGAAAAATAAAAGGCAAGTAGGCCATCAACACCTTTCAGATTTGTATGATGTCATCCTATTGAAATGGAATCCACATGAAACATAATATTTAAAGGAAAGCACCCAAATATGTGAAACGTTTCTCTTCTAATAAATATTTATCAGATTTTGCTTAGCGGGATATTCAATTTTAGGGATAATTTAACAATAACTTTTTCTTATACCTTAACGATGACAGCTATCCCTATCCTTTAGTTGTGTATTAATTTATAAGATTCTTTTATATACTAATAAATTATAATAAAAGTAGTTTAGTCTTAATACATGAAATCTTAATGCGAAGATGTCTACGTTATTAATAAGATAACATCTGAAATTAAATTTTTGAAGTAATTATGATATACTTTAATGCTTTGAAATATAAGAAGTTTAATTTTGTAAAAGTTAGTTTTAGTATATCCTAATTAAATTTTAGGAGAGAATCTACATGCATGTTAATTGAAAAGGTTTATGTTAAGAATCAGCCAAAAAGAAAAATCGAGTGCGATATCTCGTCTAGCCCAGAAAAGAAAAACATATTGTATTGGTCCTACTAACATATTCTACATATATAAGTTTTTATTCTTTGTATAACCAAAGTGAGGCAAACAAAAGCATGTTGTAGCTAAAAGAATTGAATTGCTAAGGTAAGCAAAATGGGTCGTCACACTTCACTCCCAGAAAGTATCCACTACTGCTTTATTTATTGTTACTATTTTAATTTGATAACACCAATTATAACACTGTAAAGTAATTAAGGAAAACAGTTATAAGTGCATAGACCACGCACGTAGCTAACCGTGACATATATTTAAATTTGATTTGATGATTAAACATTCCATTGATATTGGGCATGTATGCTGATAACCACAAATTAATGAGCATGTACTAGTAATGGATTGATAGTTTATTATTTAAATTTTTGTGAATCCTAGGTCGAGCACTAGCTAGGTAGCTTAGGTAACCAAGCACTAAGAATATATTCCCAAATTCTTAGCAAACTAAAACTTTCTTTACTCGAGAAAAGACCCACCCATGTAGCATTGTTGGATTTGTGTCAACGTACACATAAAGGGATACAAATCAATTGTAAAAGGATACCAACATAAACAACTACTGGTCCAGGATCCAGTTATGGAAAGACATGCTACTATTTTCTTTTTTTAATTTGCCAAGGGAAAAAATAAGCACAAAATGTTATTGTGTTGTGGTGGACGCACCAATCTGAATAAATATATAATCATCCAATGAATTCAAAGGAAAAAAAAAACCACATGAGACACGATCCTTGATACTTATGAAACAATTAACCCTGATAAGGAAAATTATTAAGTTGTCTTAATTCTACCTCTTATAATGTTTGCGCAAAATCAATTGTTATTAATTTTATTTATATATTAACATTAGTTATGATCATGAACATGACATGTATATTTGAGGATGACTAAATACTTTTTTCCATTCCAAACGAGATTAATAAATGGTCATTGGGGAGTGAGGAAGACGATATTAGTATACAATGAATGTGGTTTGTGTTGTATAAAATTGCGGACGCAACTATGAGTAACCTAAAACACTGAACAAACGTTAGTAAAATTCTCTTGAGGCGTGTGATGACACTGATCTTGAGGACTTATTCGCGGGATACGCGCAAGCCCCCCAGGATACAACAAGGTCGTCTCAAGAAATTGAGGAGCAGAATTGGCAATTAGAAAATTTGAGAACTCATAAAGAAGGAAGAGAGAAATGAGTTTTGTGGTGAGAAAATAGTGTACCGGAGGCTTCTATTTATAGAGTCTCAAAAACCCTAAAAAAGCACGTAATTAATCTGGCAATTAAAGAAAATAAATCTAGTAATTAAAGGAAATTAATTCGGTAATTAAAAGAAAATTAATCCAAATTTGTAACGGTAAGATATTAATGACAGAATCAAATTTGAATTTGAAATGTGAAAAACTGTCATTTTCAAATAAGGTTTCCTTAATAATTTAATGTAATCAAAATAAAAATATTTTCGGATCTCATTTTCTTTTGGAATATCATATATGTACAACAATCCCACATATTTCAAACAAAAATACTTTATTTTTGATTGCATTAAAAATGAGAGATAAAGAAAAGAAAATGAGTTCTCATATTGGCTGTAATACATTGGACCTGGTGTAGCAAACTATATGAACCAGTCCTAGATTGATAATACTTAACATACAATGAGATTGGTGTAGCAAGCTATATGAACCAAAACACTTAATGTATATTAGCAATTTTATCAATCATATTACACCCCTACAATTCTTGTCATTATTGCTGTTTTGCCGGCCTATTGCGTGACCGAAGGGGTATCCACCGGTACAATTACCAAATCTGAATCCTTCAAAGAAACCATGGTGTTTTTAAATAATAAAACGGTCTAACGGACGAACTCGCTCACTGATGATAAAAGCTTTCGGTTTACTAAGTAATGTAAAGAGAATAAATGGAAACGGAAGAGTTGCTAAGAACCGTAATAGATGTTGATATTGATGAGTATGCATAAGAATAAGGTAACGTACGAGAGCTAAAGCAGAAAATGAAAGGCGGAAATTAATTAGGAAAAGGAAGAACCTGATTCGTGAAGGTAACGGAAGACTAAGTAGTTTAATTCAGTGGAAGTGATAGAGATCATTGTGATTGTGTATCAGTGGCTCAAGCGTAGAGAAAATGCAGTTAGAGTTTGAGGGAAACAGAACAAGTGGTGGTGATACTCGGGTCAGATACAGCCCGAACCAACCACCTCACCTGCACGCCTAGTCAATGGGCTTTGATTTTACATTTCTTTTAGGCTATATCTTCGCCGTCAGATTTGGGCTTTTAGGTCTTACTGTTAAGACCAGCCCATCTCCAAAAAAGAGACACAAAACTCTTCTTTAGGTTAAATTAACTCATGTGCCTTAATAAAGGCAATTTCTTCCTGCAAAGATAACATGTGTGTCTTCCGTTACATGTTCAAGGCCCTTATTATTATCTCCCGTTTTTTTAGTTATTACATAAACAACCTTTTACCTTCATTTCATGTTTCTTGTTAAACCAATACTTTCCCCTGGATTCACACTCATCTCTTCCTCTTCATATGATTGTTTCATTTGTATGGTCTGCAACGTCTATCAGGTTCTCCATCTTATAACAATAAATTTTTAGCATGAAAATATCATTAAAAAAATCCAGTAATTCAACCTAAAACTTTTTTAAAAAATAAATATAATAATTCTTATATTTTTTAATTATATTTATTTTCCCTCTTGCAGGTATTTTTCAGTTCACTGAATCAGACCTAAAAGATTTATTTAATTTTGAAACCTATTAATTATTTATTAATTTAATTTTTTAAAAGATAATTATTTGTTAACTATGTAATATACCACAAAAATACATTTATATTTATAATAATCAAATACTATAACGATCAGATACACATACACTACACTACACTTGCCTTTTGTGGATTTGTATCGTCATGATTGTTTTTGTTTAAATTGGTGGATCAATAAGTCTCGTGGCCCGAGAAAACACAAAAGTTTCGCTACGACTCTCAGACAGGCCCGGTCTCCAATCGCATTGTTCACGAACCCTCTCAAAATGTCCGATTCCGAAATCACACCCCCGCCCCAATCGGAGCAAGACACCGCTCCGCCGCCGCAGCCTGCCCAGGACCAGCCACCACCCTCCGCCGCCAAGCTCGGCCACACTGGCGTCTCCTTCAGCATATGGCCTCCCACTCAGCGCACCCGCGACGCCGTCATCAACCGCCTAATCGAAACCCTATCCACCCCCTCCGTCCTCTCCAAGCGCTACGGGACAATGGCCCCCGACGAGGCCTCCGCCGCCGCGCGCCAGATCGAGGAGGAGGCCTTCGCTGTCGCCGGAGGCTCCACCGCCTCCGACAACGACGGGATCGAGATCCTCCAGGTTTACTCCAAGGAGATCAGCAAACGGATGCTCGACACCGTCAAGGCCAAATCCACTGCCGCTCCCACCGCCGTCGATAACGGCGACGCTCAGACTACTGCCTCCGATCTTGCTCATTCCCCCACCGCAGAGAGCGACACTGCCGCCACCGCCACCACCGAGTCTGAAACCTGATCATTCTGGATTATAGTATATTATATTAGGGTTCCTTTGTTGAGGGTTTATATTTCACTACTATATACTATAATGATTATGATATGTTGTTCTATCTGTAGAACTTCGTTTATTTATCGCGCCACCAATCTTGATTATAAATTATTCCCTTGAACATCTTAGCTGTTTTATTGTCTGCCTGGAAGTATTATTATGCGTGTCTTTGTCTATTGGGACCGTGATTTTTGTTTGTTGCTTTATTTTTTATTAAGTCTCACTTTAGTCCGTGATATTGTATGCTTCCATCGTTTTGGTACACCTGCAAGTCCTTGTTGGTGATTTTACTTGGTTACTTAACTGTTGCAGCATTTTCCTCTCTTGAGCAAATGAGTTTTTTTTCTTTTTTTTTCTGCTGCTTACTTAGTGTTGTCTTCATTGTTCGAGTAGTGATTTAGAATTTGATATAATGAGTAATTAAATTATGCCCTGTGAATACTGAATAATGAGTAATCTATTTCTGGTATATTATTTTTACATCAAAGCATGTGTGACGTAGACCAGGGGTTTAAAGTGAAAGTGGTATAATGGAAATGGATTGCATGGGTTTGGACATGGGAGGAGTCAACCTCCTTGAATTAGAATCTGAATAGACTTCAGGATTTCTATCTAATACCAGAAAGGAAGGTCGTGCTAATGCTTTACTAATCTAATGATGCATACTTATAAACACCTACTTATAGGATCCCATAAATTGTAATGTTCTAGAACAGATTGGACTTATAACTACATTTAATAAGTAATTACTGTTGAATTTAGGGAATGAGAATGCTTTATTATTCAAGAGAATGTAGTACATAGGTTCTGTATATCACCCATATATATAGATTCTTAATAAACATTGTGGAGACTATTTCCTAAGCTAATATTAATTTAGTGCAAATCCCTAGACAATAATACCATGATCATTCAATGTATTTTATCTGTGTGATACACGAGCATACTATTTTCTATGTGCATTAGTTATTATTATTTCCAACAATTTCTAAGACCCCTAATCTTGAGATTAAACTTTTCTGTCTGAAGAACAATGAATCATTAGTGACTTCTTAAATAATAACTAATACAGTATTTCTTATTGTTCATCAATCCATAGTTATATTTATGTTTTTGATTTCAGGTGAAGTGGCCATTCAGTGCACGTTGTTTTGTTGATTTCTAATTTGATGGTCTTATTCATTATTTTATGATTTTAAATCTTCAAGTACTGATTAATTGGTTTCAACTTTCAATTATCATTCTCAGAAAGAAAGCCTCCTTTGTATTTATTAGTTTGCGTGTCTACTTTTTTATGCCAAATCTATGGATCATTTAGTGAGCTATGCATGCTAACTGTACATATGGTTTGAACAGCTTGAATATTTTTATATATGCTTTGATGGCTCTGTTTATTTGCGTGTATATAGAAGTTGTCTATACCTAATGATGTTGCAATTATGACTCATGGTTGGATGATGATCATTCTCCTATTGAGCTATTCTATTTCCATGTGTGGTCATGGTCAGGGCAATGTGCTGGGACATAGTGCTATTCTGTGTATTTGGATTAACCTTTACCTTGGTTAATATTTCATTAGGTTTTTTTTATGTTATCATGCACTTGTAGCTTAGGGTGGTCAGAACTATAGAAGGCATCTCATTTTTAATAATCTTTTATGTATTGTAGTGAGTTTATCATCTGTATGATGTGTGCTGTTTTTGGACGCATTTTGTACTAATTTCTTACTAGTTAATGCATTATGAGCTTATACATTCAGTAGAAACACAAACTTAACTGTAATGGATCATCATCCTAAACTCACTTTTTTTTTAATATTAGACAACTCGTAATTTACAATTTTGTGGAGAAAATAAGTCATCTTAAAATAGTAGTGTGTATATCATCACTTAGTATATATTATGCTCGATACTTCAACTGAAAACTAAAGCTGTTTCACATCCTTTATTGTTTCGTTCTTTTTCTACTACAAATTTTCATATTGGAGTAGTCACAAGGAGCAGCACACTCTGGTTTGCATTCAAGTGATGCAAGACATTCATCATGCATTGTTTTGTTTTTATTGTTGAAACATCATAGCATAGACACCTTGTTTGATGTCCTATGTAACATGCCTGAGTGAGTAGAGTTTAATTTATGATCTTTATGAGCCAAAGGAGAAAAGATCCAGATTTTTTGGGGCATAAGGTTCTATTCTATTGACCTCTCTTGTAAAATAATGTATCCAACTTATATTCTTAGATGAATAGGTTTTATGATTGAAAACTAAATTTATGGGAGGTGTTGCTTTGTCATGTTTTTTACTTACTGTCTCAAATTTGCAGGTGTTCATATCCTCATTGCATTGCTTAGAGATTGTAGAGTTACTTATACTTCTCTATCTGGAAAACTGAGAAAAACATATCTCCAATGGTTTTAGTACCTTAAAAGAAAATTCTTTAATCTTATGCTACTTGCTGTTTGAATTCTGATTCTGTGCCTCATTTCTATGCATTCTTCTTACCTCTTTATTTTGGGTTTGGGTAATTCTATGTAGAAGTTGTCATTTGACCACGAGAATATAACATCTTGAGATTCTTACTTTTACTTTTATTTTCTAATCAAGTAATCAACAATCAAGAATGGTGTTTCATTAAAGAAAAATAATTCATTCGATAATAGGTCATTTTTTATACCCTATCTCTTCTTAAGTTTATTCAGATTTTCTTCAATTTGTGGTTATATGTTGTTGAATATTTATCCAATGCGTTTATCTTTACTCCATGTCTATGAATATGATATCATGTTCCTGATTTAGTTTCTGAGTATCTGTGGATTGATAGGGTTTGTTGGGATTCCGTCGTTTAGTTACTGATAGCGGTTGCTGGCCTAGCCACTTTTGAAATGTTTGCTGTTACTTTTTATTGTTTTTCTTGTATTCCTCTTATAATGATTTGGCTGCGAACTCACTGTGAAGTGTTTGTTGAGTACAATTTAACTGCTTGATTCATTTAAGATTAAACTGTTTTTGCCATTTTTGTGTACATTTTTTTAATCATTTTACCCTATAACTTCTAAAGCACTTTTTTTTATCCTATAAATTTATTTTTCAAATTTCTCATAATCTCTCATTAACTATCAAAAACTACTTACACTTTCTAATTATTAATAGTTCATTCATTTAATTACAACTACTTTTATTATTATTTTTATTTTTAAATGAAATATATAGAAACGTTAATTTTTTTAAAATGTTGGTTTTTAATAAAATTACTATAAACATTATAGATCACGGATTAAAAAAATTTGTTCTAAAAAGATAACTTTTAAATCGGTTGCACGAAGAACTTCTAAATAAATTATTTTCTTGACCAGTTTTTTAACAATCATCTATTTTGGCCAGTTTTTTTTTTAACAATAGAGATAAAACAATTTCCTCTCAACTAAAAATGCCAAATATTAGTATGAAATCATAATTATATCTATTTAGAGAAATGTTTCCATCATTATTTACTACGTGAAAAAATAAGTGATGTCCTAATAATATAAAATAGATTTACATTATTGTTTAATTACTTATCAGTATTTATAATAAAATGTTGGTTTTCATAATAAATAAGTTAAAAATTTTATCAATGATAATGGTTTGTCGATGATATAAAATCTTATGACACATGATTATTAAACTTGTATAATATACTCCTGACTTTATTATTTATTATAGGCTGTTTCTTTAAATCATAAAACTATAAGTCCTACTTTTATTTAATAAAATTTCACTCGTGGTTTCATGTATTGTAGTAATTTTTAACCAGTAATGGATATTGGATTGGAAAATGTGTTTCTAACACCTTTCTGTAAAACTGACAATAGTTAGTAGTGATTAAAAAAATAGTTCAATTAGAAAATGAAGAAATATTTTTTATTCAATAATTTTAGCAAATGTTATTTTCATTCGAGACCTTGATTTTATTTATTTTTTTAAAACAAAACAAAGTCAGATATAAGACTCTTACAAAGTGTTTGAATCTCTTTTAAATGATGTATGCATGTATAATATATGAAAATACTTCAAACTTCATTACTTTTTATAAACAGGAATGTGAATGTGAGTTGAATTAAGTGAATCAATTTATTTATTTTTGTAATTTAGGTTAGATAAATAAATTTACCAACTTGTCAACTCGATATTAACCTGTCTACTCATTTTATTTTGTTTTATATTTTTAAAAGATAAATTTGTCGTGAATTTATATTGGATAAATATTTTAATTGTATAACTTAATTTTTTAGGTAATTATTCTTATTTTATATTTACTAGAAATATATCATTTTAATCACATATTTTTTACTAGTATATTTTCATGTATAATGTCTTTTTTCAATAGAAATATATATTACTTTGATACATTGAATGAAAAATATAACTCCTCTAATCAATTTTACAATTAATAAAATTATAGATAGAATAGATATTATAAGTTGAGATATTTTAATTGATTTTTTTTAAAAAAAAATTGGTAGGTTAAAAGTGAGTCAACTTGTTAACTCTTGTAATTACTAAAATGAGTCAACTTGTCAACCTACTAACCTATCATTAAGTGAAGTGAGTTACATTTTTCAACCTGTTTTCTTTGAAGGGTCCTATCTTGCCCTAATTGTTTGGTGAGACAACAAATTCCATTATATTTTAAACGAGTTAAGGTACTTTGTCATCTTTATTTACGAAATATACAGTTTAAAGTAATTTTTTTACAAGTAAATTTTGAAATAAATTGTTAGAATCACCATTTTATTTTTGATAAATAATACCTTTTGTTAAAATTAACTTCAAAATTATGTATTTTGTTTACTTAATTTAGAGCCAATCTTAATAAAATTCCGAAGATACGCCTACCAAAAAAAAAAGAACGTTTTAGTAAATTAAAATCAATTCACACATCTCATCCTTAAAAAAAACAGAGAAAAAATATTTTAAGAGTATTAAAGTATATATATTAATTTTAAATCATGAAAAAATTTAAAGCACTTTAAGGTAAGTATTATTAAACCGAAGATAGACGAAAATAAAAATAAGATATAAGTGTATATGGTTGATAAATATCCATGTTTCATAAGTATAAAATATATGAAAAAATATTTGTTAACAGAATTGAATTTTTAGTAAATTTTAATAACTTGTAAAATTAGTCCTTGAGTTTGGGAAGAAAAAAAAACACAAAAAATGAAAGGCAGGGAAAGTAGAGAAGACTTCTGGTTGGGCTTTATTTGGGCCAAGATTTTAGGCCCCAAAAGTGCACCTATACTATATCTGTTTCTGGTGCTCACTAGCTACGTTGACGCTATCGCTAACAACCTGTATTCTGTTTCTGGACGGAGCCATGAGTGCGTCATCATCTGCTACTCCTTCCGCCGCGCAGGTCCGCTCTCTGTTCCGTTCCCTCCAACGTGTCGCGCGCAACTTCCCCGATTACAACATCAGGGAATACGTCAAACGACGCACCGTCGATGCGTTTCGTGAAAACGCCACCCTCTCCGACCCTTCTTCCATTTCCTCTGCCTTTTCCCACGGCGAGTCTCAGCTCGCCCTCCTCAAAAGACAAGCCCTCGTCTACTCTCTCTACACCCCTTCGCTTCGCAGCGTCATGGAACTCCAACAACCCCCCTTCTAGTCGCGGTAATTTGCCACAACACAGGGTTTAGGGTTTATGCTTCTTTTTCTATATCATCGATTTATCATTGCTAGTTCTCCACTCGCAATAGGATTAGAATGCCAAACTCGTTGGGAATAATTTTGTCTTGTTATTTCTGCAGGTTCTGTGTATGACGACTCTGTTGAGAAGAGGACAAATCGGAAATGTGTGTTTCTTTACTCTGCTTTCGATTGTCGGGGAACTGGCAATGTTTCTTCTGTATTTCACAACACGTATTTTACTTTTTTTTGTAGAGAAAATAAGGGATGTTAAAATACTAGTGTGTATATCATCACTTAGTATATACCCCACTCGATTCTTCAGCTGAAAACTAAATGTGCTTCACATTCTTTTTCATCATTCTTTTTCAATTACAAAAGTTCATTTTGGATTAGTCATGAGGAGCATCACACTGGTTTGTTTGCATTCAAGTGATGCAAGGTTTCATTATGCCTTGTTCTGTTTTTATTGTTGGAACATCATAGCATTGGCACCTTTGTTTGATTGCCTGTGTAACATGACTGGGTAGAGTGGAATCTTAGGATCTTTATGAGCCAAAAGAGAAAAGATCCAGTTATTTTGGGGCTATCCAACTTATATTCTTAAATGAATAGGTATTATGATTGAGGATTAAATTTATGGGAAGTGTTGGTTTCTCATGGCTTTTTCTTACTGTCTCAAATTTGCCGGTGGTCATATCCTCATTGCTTTGTTAAGAGACTGTAGAGTTACTTATACTTCCCTGTCTGAAAAGCTGAAAAAAATATACCTCTAGTGATGTTTGTTAAGCACCTTTGTTTGAATTCTGATTCTGTGCCTCATTTCTGCGGGTCAGTAACAATGCATTTATCTTGCCTCATTTCTGCGGGTCAGTAACGATACACTTCTCTTGCCTCATGCTGGTTTTGGGTAATTCTATGTAGAGGTTGTGTCTTTTGACCATGAGAGTATAGCATCTTGAGATTCTTACTTTTAGTGAAGTATCCCTCCCAATCAGGTTTTTTTTCATAACAAGACTTGATCTTGAGACTTTGTTTAACAATCTGTTGTTGTAGTAGACTGATAACACGAACAATAGCCCAGTTTCTTGAGGCGTGCAAGCCTCTTAAGATACAACAGCTGCAAGCCTCTTAGGATACATCAGAAACTTCTTAGATGTAGAACCAATGCGCAAAACTAACAAGATTAATAAGAAGTAGGACCCAAATATGTTTAACGAAGAAAAAGACGATTAAGAGAAGTCTTTTTTTCTTGGTGAAAAGATCTCAGTATTTAATCCCAAACACCCTCACTTTCCAAAACAGTTCTGAACATTTCATTAGAGGGGTTGGGTTTCGGAACTGTCTTTGGAATTGGAACATTGTTGAGAGTTTTTTATTTTTTTATTTTTTGTGATTAAATACTGAGATCTTTTATAAAAAAAAAATGACTTCTCTTCTTTGTCCTTTACTTCGCTAAACATATCTATTTGTAGTTCTTATGTTGTTAGTTATGTGCTCTGATTCTACGTTCTGGATGGAGGTTCCTGTTGTATCTTGGAAGCTTGTGTGGTTTCTGCAGATAAATCCTTTAGAAAAATTATCATTCGCCTCATGAAACTGAGCTATTGTTTGTGTTATAAGTCTTCTGCAACATACACAATCAAAAATGGTATTTCATGAAAAAAGGCAATTGATTCTATAATAGGTCAATTTTTTTTAGTACCCTATTTCAACTAAAGGTGATCCACCTTTTCTTTATTTCAATTTGTTCGTGTTATCCAATGCTGTTCCCTGTATTCCATGTCCATGAATATTATTATGTTCCTGATTTAGCTTCTGAGGATGTGGGTTAGTAGTGTTTGCCTTGATATTCATCTGTGTTGGGATTCCTTCATTTCTTTACTGATAGCGTGAATTAATGCTAGTTTAGAAACGGACATAATGTTGGGACTTGGGAGAAAGAGGTTCATGGGTGGCATAGTCTCCGTGTGTGAAATACTAATGGAATTTTAGGACTATTGGCGTGTTTGGGTTATCGTTCTACTGAACGTAATCCATTTTTTTTTTTTCAATTCATCGGTGTTGTTTCTCCATTTTGTGCTTTGGAATGTGCTAACGAACATTTAATACCTTTCTAACAACAATTCAAACACACACTATAACATGCTACTACATCCACTTCTCATCTTTTAGGTTTTACATGGAATTTTACGCTATCCATCTATATTCTTACAATATTCCCACTTAATAGTTGTTTTGGAATAAGCATAATTGCCCTTTTAATGATATGATTAATTGAATGATATTCAATGTTGTAAAAAAAAAATAAAAAAAAAAGCTTATAACATTGTTATAAAGCTACGGGGGATCGAATTATAATTTCATTGTCATTCACGATCTATTATATAATGACTTATGGTCAACTCAATTCGACTTGTCTCACATGAACCGTGAACTCAAACGGGACTCACGCAACACAAACCTTAGCCTAGGTAGAAAGCCTCTCCGACCACCTTTGTTCAATATTGACCACCACTCTCTAGATACCTTTCCGGTCGCGACCTGAATTGCAGTGACCCAACAATCCGATAAGTAACTCCAGTTACCATAACAACAATTTTCTTTTCCTGTTTTTAATCCTACTTCTTCCTTCTATTCTTCATTTGCTTGTTATGCTTATTTTTTCATTCTTTTTCCTTTTAATACTTCTTTCATATGCATCTGTTGTGTCTATAGCAACATTTTTTTCATTTTCAATTCTACTTTTCTATCAATTGGGTCGAGTTTAAGTTCCTATTTATTCTAAATTCTAAGATTAATATTGAGTTCTTATTTTATTATTGTTCTTATTCTTATTTTTAGAATAAAGTCTACTCTTTTTGTTGTGTTTAAACCAATTATGTTTAAGACTTTCTGAAATATAGTATTGTGTTATGATATTTAACTATTTAAGTTGATATGTCGTTTTTAATTTATTTTTGTTGTTTGTTATTTTTTGCTTTTTTTTTTTTGTATGTATGAATGTGTATATATATACACACAAAACCGTATGATTGTATCATTGGAAACTACGAGATAAAACCGTACAGCAAAGCAAAAGGTTCGGTTAACGTGTTTATTATATATTTGAATTTGGTAGCTCTACACATTATAAGCCTCCAAGGGTCTACCAAGTTTACTTGTATTAAGCCTTAAAATACAAAAAGAAAATGTAAATTTTTTTGGGATGTATAATTTACTTACAAGTGATTCACTGAAGAAATGAAATCAAAACCTATATGTATATAGCTCGTATCCATTTTCCCGTATGTAGATTATTACGTTGATCTTAACACGGGAAGTCTTTGTGATATCCCAGCAAATGTTGTAGAAGAAAATAATGTTCCATGTGATATCGTATATAGTGAACAAGCAGCCAGGCAGGGTCAAGTATTGGGGCAGTGACTTTCATTCATAGTCATAGATGATCTTATCTTTGACTTCAATTCAGGAGGTTAGGTAAGGTGTGTAAATTATTTGTCTGTAGTCTCGGGATACTCTTGACTTTGCTCAGTGGAAACTATGTAACTCTAAAGTTGATTGCTACCTTTGTTACATTTATTTTTCTATTTTCTGTCTCCTTTTTTAATTTTTACATCATGATCAATAGCTCAAAATCAGCGCTAATTAGTACGAATGTCTTGGAACCTGGCTTCATTTAAGAAGCTACCATGTCTTGTAATTGGAAAAAAAACTTTGACCTTACGATGAGTTCATTCTACTAAATTCATGCTAGTCAGAAAGAACCTAAATTGACTTTTAATTAATACTAATGATATTAGACCAAACAAACAATCCTTAATTGAAGCTGGATTCTTGTGTCCTTTGTTAGCCTCATGTTTTGTGAAAGAATCATGTCCCTTAGATAATATAACTTGTGTCATGCCCTATAAGTTGATGATAAGAAGCGCGTATGGGTGTAATTAATTTCACTACAATGATCAATTTAATAATTAAGCTAAAGAATGCAAATACTTTGTTCATATTTGATATTTCTAATAATTTGAATACTGAAAATGCGTTTTGCATATACAGTCGCGATAAAAAAAACATCAAACATGTATCAATATAAGGTGTGTAACGCCTTGTTTTTACAATGAGCAAGCAATCTACAAAGTAGAAGCTACATAAACATATGAGATCAGTGTCAGTGGGAGAAAAATTTCCTCTAAATGGGAAAAAATATTTGTAAAAATGAAAACCGAAAGCAAGTGGTTAGTTAATGTCCACGTCCTCTTTTGCTGGGTCCAGAAGCTAGTCTAAATGCCAAGCTTCGTTTTGAAAGACGAGTGGTGGAATTGTTAGATGAAAGAGAAATCAAAGGCATCCACAGAGATGAGCATTCTCCTTTGAAGTCTACACAATTCTCTGCCACCTTCGATCGAAGAACTCGACCATGCACCAAACACAGCTCCCATGACAACACAAGCATTACGGTTACAAACGCAATCCAAAGGCTCTTCTTCATCGGCATCTTTTTTCACAAATAATAATATTCCTTATTTTTAAGGGCCTGCTGCTATTTTTTGTATTTCCACCACTTGTATTTTCAGCTTAACGAAGAGCCACTGCTTGGTTTATATACAAAAATAATTCTGCTGAGGACGGTGAAGCGTTTCCCATGTGGGCCCTTAAAAGCTGCATTTTGATTTTGACTCTAACCATTTCAAGAATTGTGGTGGTGCCCGTGTGGGGATTTTGGTTTCTCACTTGCTATGAAATTCTTCAATTGTTCGAATTTGACTTTATCATGAATACTACTACTATGCGTCGACCTAGTTCATGTCATCGCAGCTCGCGAAAGATAATAATAAAAATGATCAACACGTAAAAAATGCAAAGGGAACTCTCTAGTCTATACGAGCTCGTGGGTGTGCTTTTGCATGTTCACGTTCAAGTTTCAACCCATTGGTTTCACACGGGTTTTTGACTCGATGCATCATGCATGCGTAGAAAGTGTGTAACGCGGTGCATGCTGAGTCCATGTGTTCAATTTTTAAACATTTGCATGCGACACTAGTAAACACTAAACAACTAAGAATGTGTCCTTTGAAATTTATTGTCTACCTGTCAATTACGAAAAAAGTGCTCGTTTGATTCAAATGTCCACCTTTTGACCGTGTGTAGGACACTGGCCCATCCTACCCAAACCATGCGTGTGTACAAACGCAATATAATGTTTTCAAGAGTATATATGAGAACGAGTATCAAATTGGATAAAGTTATAATGTGATGTTAATAACACTTTTATAATGTCTTGAGGTTCTAAATTAACTGAGTTCAAAATTAATTAAGTCTCTAAATCTGTTTTCCGTAACAAATACAGAAAGAAAAAACAAAATTCTAAGTCGATCGTTTATACACACAATTGAAA